GCAACAATTAGGACGGAGGAGGCGACGGCAGAAGGGGAGGACGAGACGCGTGGGAACGAAGCAACATAGGGTGGGAGCGCAGGACAGGCGAGGCAGGACGAGCACGGGAGGGACGGTGAGACCAGACGTGCGACGGAGGAGTCGGGTCAGGAGACAGGGGAGGGGACACAGGAGGGGAACGAGGGGAGAGACGGGCCGGGGACGAGTCCGGCGGAGGGAAAACAAGGCCGTAGACAGGAAGAGGAGGAGACGGTCGGGGAGGAACCGACGCAGGGTCGGGGAACGGCAGGCCGAGCAGGCGAAGGGCTGACACCGGCGGGGACTGCTGCTGCGGCGGCACAACGGCGACACCGGGACCGCAAGCTGCTCCGCGGCTACCACCGGCACTCTCCACACCAGCACCCCCAGAGGGACCACCCCCAGGGCTACCGGGACGAGCACCCCCAGAGTCAGCGAATGGGTGCTGCGACGGCGGCGGCGACGGCGGCGGCGGCAACGACGGCTGCAGCGGCGGCAGAGGCGGTGGAGGAGGGGACTGGGGAGGGGACGCCAGGGGAGGGGCAGCTGGCGAGGACTGCACAGGAGGGCCACCAGAGTCAGAAGACTCCTCAACCGGGTCCACCGACGGAAGGGGGGTGACGTGGGACACACCAGAGGGGGCGGGACGGGGAGGAGGAGGAGGAGGGGCAGGGACTACCGGGGAAGGAGGGACCAGGAACAGGGGGGGGTAACCGGGGGACCACGGTGGGGGAAGCGACGGTAGTAGGAGATGGACTCGTCAAAGGTGACGTCACGAGAGTGAAAGAAGCGGTGAGACGGCGGGTGGTAAAAGTGCCAGTCGGACGCGTCAAGGGGAAAACCGAGGAAGACGCAGGGAAGGGTGCGGGCAGTGAGCTTGTCCGTGCCGGAGGCACGGACGTGAGCAAGGCAGCCCCAGACGTGGAACGCAGACGCGTCACCAGGAGACCCAGTCCAAAGACGGGTCGGCGAAACCTGCGGCTGCTGAGGGTGCGGCCACAAGTTAAGCTGGTGAGAAGCGTAGCGCACAGCGAACGGCCACAGAAAATGGGGTGCACCGGCATGGATCATGGAGGTGCGAGCCACCTCCATGACCAAACCGATGCGTCGCTCAGCGACCCCATTCTGCTGTGGGGAGTCCGGTAGGGTGAACGTCTGGGTGATGCCCTCCGCACGACAAAAGCGACCAAGGACACCTGAGGCAAACTCACCACCACGGTCTGAGTGAAGACGCAAGACAGGGAGACCGCGGTGGACACGCGCAGAGACAAGTCAGGGGATGAGAGCGTCAGGCACGTCAGCCTTGCGCTCCGCGGGAAAGACGGTGGTGTAACGAGTGAAGTCGTCGACAAGCACAAGGAAGTAGCGCTCTCGACGCGGCCCAGGGACAGGGGCGGGGCCCCAGACGTCCAGGTGCAGGGTCTGCAACGGCGCGGCGGTAGGGGGAAACGAGGAGGAGTGAGGGGCACGGCGAAGCCGACCCTCGACACAAGGCGTGCAAGGTGGGGCTGGGGAGGAGGGAAACGCGGGGAGAGAACCTGGGAGACCAAGGACAAGACCGTGCTGGGACATGTGACGCAGACGCGGGAGCGCAGGGTGACCTAGGCGGTGGTGCCAAAGGAGGGTCGGGTGAGTGAGGGACCGACAGGAGCAGGCGGCAGCAACCTGGGTGAGCGCTCCAGCCGGGGGGGCCACGGTGTCCAGAGTGAACAGGCCGGACACTGGGTCCCGAGGGAACGTGGACAGGGGGGCACCAGTGGTGGCCTCGGTACAGACAGCATACCGCTCGTGACCAGGGAACGTAGTGGTGACGCCAAGGTCCTGGAGGCAGCCGACACCAACTAGGTTCCTGGAGAACGAGGGGATATGCAGACCTGTGAGAGTGCCCGAAGGAACCGCCGGACAGGGAAGTGTGGTGGAACTGCGGGCGACTACCGGACCGCCGGAGGGGTTAGCAAGTGAAACAGCAGCAGTAACAGGAAGCGGCGTCAGGGTGGTGGAGTCGCGGAAGAAACACCGAGAAGCGCCAGAGTCCAAGGTGAAGGAAAGCGAAGCAGAGGCGTCTGGCGACGGAATGACGGTGGAAGCACCAAGACTACACAAAGCAGGGGATCCTACGCCTCACGCAGCAGGGGAGGCTAAGCTAGGCACACCTACATTAGGCAACAGTGAGTAATAAGCGGGAAGCACACTAGAGTCATCAGCATACATCACATGCAGAGCAGAAACAATGGCATCCATGTCAAGATCAAAAATCTGAATCTTACGACTAAGCAAATTGTGCCAGTCCGGGAGGTCTGGCGACGGGCCGAAGCGCTGACGAAAGAGGTCGTCCAGGCGACGAAAACAGCGGGGAGTGGAGTGACCGATCTTACCGCAAACGAAGCCGCGGCGAGGACCGGTCTGGATCTGGTACTGACAACGCCCGCCGCCCGAGCCACCACTCGGCACACCACCACGCGCCCGACCACCGCCAGCGCCGGGCCACCCGGGCGGGAGGACACTCGTCTGCCGTGTCTGCGACGGCTGCTGCGGCTGCTGCGAAGGCTGCGACTGCGGCGGCTGCTGCAACTGCAGGGGCGGCGGCTCAGCTGGACTGGGCAGGGTCCCTCGTCCGCTCCAGCACCAGACGACCCGACCCCACACCACCCACTCCCGCACCCCCGCCTCCTCCGCCGCGCCCAACCTTGGGGCGGCGGCCCTTCCCCGAACGAAACTGCGCTGCAGCAGCAGTCTCAGCCACAGCGGCAGAGCCATCGGAGAAGGTACACTGAGCGGGGGCACAACCCTGAAAGATAGGGACCGGGACGGTACCGCTCGCCTGGGCGATGGAGCGGTGGCGGGTCTCTATCACAGTCAGGGTATCGACAAAGTCAGTGAGGGTGAGGTCTGCGGGGTGAATGCTAAGGAAGCGGTCGCGGGCGACAGCAAGGCGGTCAGGGAGGCGGGTGGCAAGCAGGTAGAGGGTAGAGGTAATGGGCGGCTGGTGGGCTCTAAGCTGTGCGTCAGTGCAGGCAGCGCGCCAGGTGTCATCTATCGAGCGCAGGTGAGCAGCGAGGTCAGAGACCGTGGGGAAAGATGCAAGGTCAGGAAAGAGCATCGGGAGGATCAGGCGACCCACTGAGGCAGCCGGAGGGGTGGAATAGCGCTTGATGACAGCATCTAAGTAGGCCTGAGCAGTAGTGAGGGACCTAAAGCGAGGGCGCTCGGACGGGGGAAGGGCGTTGCTAATGGCAAGCTGAGCGACAGCATCGCGAGAAAGCCAGACTGAGCGCGCACGGGCAGTGGCAGCAGTGGACTCGCGCTCAGTGGGTGTGGAGTCAGCGGGCTGAATAGCAGGGGGTCTGGGCAGGGGAGCGTACCGTCAAGATGTGCGGAAAGCGGTTCACCATCCTGCCGCTGGCCAGTGAGCTGGCGGCGGAGGTCGGCCAGCCACGCCTCGAACTCCAGAGGCTGGCCTTCAGCATTGAAGCGAAGCTCCGCCGCCATCAGTAGCAGTGCAGTGCGGTGCGAGGCAGTGCAGCAAAGAGGAGTGCAATGCAGTGCGGTCCAGTGCGGTGCAGTACGGTGCAGTGCAATGCAGTGCGGTGCAGGGCAGTACAGTGTGGTGTGGGGGGGGGGGGGGGGAACCGTACCAGTGAGGGGGAAGGGGGCCGAGGCAGGGACGAGCGCAGGGGCCGGGCCGGGCAACGGGGCCGGGCGGGTGCGACGGGGCCGGGCGGGCGCGACGGGGCCGGGCGGGCGCGACGGGGCCGGGCCGGTGCGACGAGCCGAGCGAGGGCGACGGGCCGGGCGGGCGCGACGGGGCCGGGCGAGTGCGACAGGGCCGGGCTGGTGCGGCGGGCCGGGCGGGTGCGACGGGGCCGGGCGGGTGCGACAGGGCCGGGCCGGTGCGACTGGGCCGGGCCGGTGCGACGGGGCCGGGCGGGCGCGACAGGGCCGGGTGGGCGCGACGGGGCCGGGCCGGTGCGACAGGGCCGGGCGAGGGCGACGGGGCCGGGCGGGTGCGACGGGGCCGGGCGAGCGCGACGGGGCCGGCTGGTGCGGCGGAGCCGGGCGGGTGCGACGTGGCCAGGCAGGGGCGACGGGGCCGGGCAGGGGGCGACGGGGCCGGGCAGGGCGCGAGAGGGCCTGAGGGCGTGACGGGGCCCAGGAGGGGCATGACAGGGCCCAGGCGAGGCCCAGGAGGGGCACTACGAGGCCCAGGAGGGGCACTGCGGGGCCTAGGAGGGGCGCGACGGTTCCCAGGGAGGGCGCAACGGGGCCCAGGAGGGGCGCTACGGGCCCAGGAGGGGCGCTACGGGGCCCAGGAGGGGCGCTACGGGGCCCAGGGAGGGCGCGACGGGGCCCAGGAGGGGCGCTACGGGGCCCAGGGAGGGGCACTACGGGGCCCAGGAGGGGCGCGACGGGGCCCAGGAGGGGCGCGACGGGGCCCAGGAGGGGCGCTACGGGGCCCAGGAGGGGTGCTATGGGGCCCAGGAGGGGCACTACGGGGCCCAGGGAGGGGCACTACGGGGCCCAGGAGGGGCGCGACGGGGCCCAGGAGGGGCGCGACGGGGCCCAGGAGGGGCACTACGGGGCCCAGGAAGGGGCGCGACGGGGCCCAGGGGGGGGCGCGACGGGGCCCAGGAAGGGCGCGACGGGGCTAGGGGGGTCGCGACGGGGCTAGGGGGCGAGCGGAAGCGGTAGGTGGGGGGGGGGGGGGATCCTACCTACGCGTGATACCATATCAAAATTGAAGAAGTGAATGATGTTAGAGAGAGGGTACACACAGATATACCTAAGTGTTGTACCCTCTAAGAGGCTACCCTATACAGTCTATACAAACATGACAAATACACATGTTTGACACATCCCCCAATCTCGCCCCACCCATACGCGCGAATTCGCTACGAATTCCCAGCACCCCCAACAAACATGACTTGAACACACATAATTCATTAACTAAAGCATGTACAAAAAGATCGAGAAATCAGTTTTTTTTTTTGAAGTAATTCTGATGGCTCAGGATTTTTATTTTGGGGACCCTGAAAATTCAGACTTTTCTGCAGGGAGAATCCTGATGGATCAGGAAGCCTCAAAACCAATCTAGGGCCCTGGCGCCGACTCTACAATAAACAAGTAAACAAAGCCAGGAAAATCAAAATATGCTAGCATAGCACGTGATGAAACGCTTTTCATCTGGGGGACGCAGGTCCGTTCAGCAGCCATTGCCACAGCTTGCGAGGCCTCGTCAGTCCACTCCCCTGACTAACAGCGCGCCTGGGCCTTTCAGGCACCTGATTCGCAGACGACCGTCTCTGCTGAGACGCCCTGTCATGGCTTTTGCTCCGCGGGCGAATAAAACCCGCCTTGCTGCTGCGAGACGCCGCTGACCGCGGTCTCACGCTGCTGTCCATGAGCGACTCGACGAGCCTCCCGCGCGAATCCACCATGGAGAGCTCCAGCTGCTGCAGAAACTCCTCCTCCCATTCGCTCATCGGCTGGGCGACGGCGTCAGTCGCCGCGGCGGAGACCGGCGCCGAGTGGTTCAGAGCGGTAATAAAAGTAGGTGCGAATGCGGTACTGGCGGGGCTGTCAGAGCATGATAGACGTGCCGCCATCATCGTGTCGCTGAGCTCCTTGCTCCAACTCTGCATGTCGTCCTCCTCCTCCGAGGTCGAGTCGACTTCCGCGGTGTTTAGACTCCTCAATTGGTTAGCGGCGTCGTCGCAGAAATCGGCGAAATGGGAACCGCGGGGCAGGGTTAGCACCGGAATTTCGACGGGCTTTTTCGTTGACCTAATAACCCGTTGAGGGCTAGAAACTCCACCCACGGGGCGTGCCGCGCCGCCCGCCGAAATTCCCGCCGTCGCAGCCGGTGGCGACGCACTTGCGACGGCTGCCGCGCTAGGACGCGCCGGCGGATGATGGATTAGCGAGAAGTAGCTCGGCGTCCGGCAGCAGGTCTCGGGATTGGGGCAGCACGGAAAGGAACAGCAGCAGGAATCGCCTCGCGCGGCTTTCTTACAGCACGTTTGTCTCGGGAGAGATGACGGTGACATGATCTGCAGCGTTTGGTGCGGACGATGTGCGAGGGATGGGATATTTTCGGTCGAGCACGCCATGCTACTGGGCTAGATGGAACTGCGGGAAAACTACGGCACACGAGACGTATGTGGGATGTTGCGACATTAGAACTGCGGTTAACTCGGGGTTTTTAATATTCGACGCTGGCGTAATCCAACACGGACGAGACAGTCTACTCTGCCAGCTCAGGCAGCCGGACAGGTGTGCTGCTGCTGGCAGCGCGGCTGGAACTACAGTCAGAGGGTCCCCCCCTGCCTGCCTTGAACGCAAAGCAGGGTTGCTCGCATGTCAAAGTCAGAGCTGGTGCAGCGCTGGTGACAGTTTGTTAGGCGAACTTGACCGAAGCAGCGCTCCTCCAGACCAGAAGACCCAAATGAGGACTGAGGGCAAGGGTTGACCCAAGTGAGGAGGGGCGTCTGGCACGGGCCGGTCAGAAAGGGAAGTGGTTTGCCCCCAAAATTCTGGACATGTGCTGAAAACAGCAACAGTTCTGCATTTGCTATGTCCTACTTCACCTCATCTTTCTGCCTCTCTCCCCCTTCCCCTCCTCCCCCTCCCCCTCCCCCCCTCAACTCTCACGCCCCTGCCCTGCTCTTCCAGCTCTTTTTACGGTACAGTACTTCGGCCACAAATTTCAGTCCTGTGGGTCAGACTGTACAGCTGCCCAATGCCCAAACCAAAACGCAGTGGGTCAAATGTGGGATTGTTCTGCAGCTCGTGCCCAGCCACCTCGTGACAGCCTGCACACGAAAAGTTGCTGACACGAGGGGACCGTTCGTTTGCCAATTTTACAGTGGCACAGAGAGGAAGGGTTAGCATGCGGAACATAAAACGAGGGCTCGTTGGGTCACCGAAAGTTTAGTGCGCGACGACGGGTTTGGTTAAGTAATCAATATCCAAACCTAGAACTCCCAAGTCACGTGCCTCTTCCCGTTCCCCCCAAAAAAAGCCCAAAATTCACCGCCCAGAGCTCAGGGGCAAACTTAGTGCCATACCCCCCACACAACACATACCACCAAGGTCGTGGTATTGAGCGGAGGGGGGTCGGCATCACACGCAGAGCTGGCCAGTGCAGTCGCGTGGCCGATTCGAATTTGAACGGTCGGGGATTTTTTCGTGGAGGGTCCCTACCTCTGAAAGGTGTCACTGCACATCGTCGGCAAATTTGTTTTACTCGTTTCTGCAAGTTTGACCACTGCCATAATTTAACTTGACTGTCTTGGCACAAATAAATCTATCGAAGTCGTTCGGCCACATACCTTCTGTTCGCCCAGGAGAACGCCACTCCACGTGCCCCTTCCCCTTCCCGTCAGAATTACCAGCGAACGACCCCGAGTTCCAAAACTTGCAGTTCTTGAACGCTTGAATGGGATATGATCAGACAGGGTGCTCGCTCTGCCAGGGGTGTGAGCAAAAAAGGTCCGTCTACCTCCGAACCTGTAATACACTCCGTTTTATTTTTAGTATTTACCAGCAAACGTCTATCATCGAAAAGGAAAAAAACATAAAACCCATTTGGGACCGAATCCCGTTCGAGATGGCATCAACCCTAAGCACGCAGCTCATTTGCGATTTTAGGGTTGATGCCACCCCGAGTCGCATGTGAGGGCCCTACGGGTTTTAGTTGTTTTTTTTTTTTTAATGCCCTAAAACACTGCTCGTATAAATGTCCCACCTCACAGAGTCACGATACGACGCGCCCCACAAACCTGAGCTGTGTCGCGAACAAAACTATTACGTGTTGTACGACGAAGGCGATGTATCACAGGTTCGGAGGCAAGGTCTCGGGGCAGAAAGCTGCCGGACCTTTTTTGCTCATGCCTCTGGCGGGGCGAGGATCCATTTTTCATTTCCCCGCTTGAATTGAATGGTCGGCCCTTCCCCATGTGATGTGAGATCGAGACCTACATGGGTCATCTCCCGCAGCCCCCGCTGATGTTGCTTGGTCAGCTCTTCGCGATTCCCGGAGCCCGTCCTTTCTCCGAAGGCTCCGTTGAATCTCTGAAATTTGTCACGACGCTTCCCTCCCAGCCTCCCCCCAATCACCCACCCGCCCGCCCATTCATCACCATGGCGAATGAAGTTTGAAAATGGTGTGGCACTAGAGTACAAAAATCGTGTTCCCGGCCTGGGGATTGTATTCTGTGGTCCAGGCTCGTTCCAAAATAATAAAACTTTGACCCGCTGCTGAATACACATGATTCCGGTTATAATAGAGAGGATTACAAGAGACCTACGAAATTTCACGAGAATACAATAGAGCCTCTAAGCATTCTCTGCTTATGAGGCCTTGTTTACTAGAGCCCTTGAAGCGCGACATGAGGGAATCTGTATGGGACCTTTGCCTGAATGTGGTTAAAGCCTGTGTATCATATTTTCTAAGGCAATGCGTTTGGTACTAGGTAACGTAGGTACTCTGAGTACGAGGGCTCGCGAGAGGGTGCAAGATGAAATATCCAACTTTACCCAAGTATACTTGAGACAAATTCTGAATGATCGCGGTGTCGGAAAGTGGACTGGTTATATGAAATCGAGACCATAGGGTGTTGCGCGGAACAAATCTGGGCTAGTTAGGTGCATGCTTATATAGAGTACAACCCCTTAGGTCTCGCTAGCTCTGCAGGCCCCGTCGCACCCCACCAGCCCCATGCGCCCCACCGGCCCCGCTAGGTCCCGCTAGCCCCGCTGGCCCCGTCGTGCCCCGCTAGCCCCGCTGGCCCCTTCGCGCCTCGCCAGCCCTGCGAGACCCCGCTAGCCCCGCTGGCCCCGTCGCGCCCCGCCAGCCCCGTTAGGCCCCGCTAGCCCTGCTGGCCCCGTCGCACCTCGCCAGCCCCGTGCGCCCCACTGGCCCCGCTAGCCCTGCTGGCCCCGTCGCACCCCGCCAGCCACGTGCGCCCCGCTGGCCCCGTAGGACCCGCTGGCACCGTTCACCCCGCTGCCCCGTTCGCGTCCCGCTGGCTACTTTGTGGTGGGGCGAAACTGTTACTGCTCCCAAAAAGTCCACGTCGTTTCGCGACAAAACGGAACAACCAATCAAAAACTGCTTCGCGATTGTTGTTTTGAAGTAATGCTTCGGGCCGTGCCACAGCTTTCTTCAGCACCAATAGCAAGTCTCGACGCGAGGTCCGGAACTCTCGTTTGAATGGTTCCGAGGGTACACTACTAAAATAAGGGATATATAGAATTGGTTCGAAAAAAGTTGATGGCTTTGACGGAGCTTGTTAAACGGGTTATGAAAGTGACTCAGGTTGGCTACCTTGACAAATGAGAGCATCGCAACCACTCTCGAGCGCCAGCCAACCATCTGTCGTAGTTCGTGCCTACAGAGTACATGTCAGGGCGTGGACGGTTGGCATGCAATAAACTGGCGCGTGCACTTAATGAAGTCAGGGTTCGGTTATATTGGCCTTAACCTTTTCCATGAGAGGCTTGAAAGTCGACGAAACAAAGTTCTCTTTCAGGCGCACTGTTTACGGCCCAAAGCTCTGGCACGAAGCTGTGAGTACTGCGCGAGCTCACCGATAAATTCACAACTAAAGCCTCCAACCCCAATCTGTATCCCAAAGTTGTTCCCTCTGCTGTCTCTTGTTTCCGTTCTTTCACAAGCACGTCGCCCTGTTATTCTGTTTCAGACTTCTTTATTAGAAGTACCACTCGAGCGCTTGGTCTTAAAAGTTTCTGTTCAGCATACCTCAGTATTCCGTACTCTGTCTGATGCCCCATGCCGTGGTGCCCTATGCAATCCCTGATTCTGTTTGTCGTGTGTACGCAGTGATTTCTACTCACCTTAGAGCGAAGCATCGCGCATCCAACGTGAGGGCTTTGACAACCTTAGCCCAACCATCTTTTCTCTCCTCACTTTTCTCCCTAGCTAAAACCTCTCGCCAGTCTCATGCCTAGCTAGCTTCTTAGCTCCTTTCAATATGGTATCAGAGTAGGAAGATCCTGCTGAGCCTCCTATTCACGCTTCCGCCGTGTACTCTCTCCTATCCTTTCACTTTCGCGCCGCCATGGCAGCCTCCATGTGCTGCCGCGGCAGCCTCGCCGCGCGGCCGCTGCGACATCATCTCGCCACGCTGCCGCGGCGACCTGTCTAGGCTCTATGTTAACATCTACATGCACTGCCATATTAGAGGGCAGGGAGGAGGAAGTGGGGAGGGGAAGAGGGTGAGGGGGGTTGTGGGGGGGGGGTGCATGTTGGATTTGAAAGGGGAGGGAGGGAAGGAGAAGGGGAGGAGGGGAGGAGGGAGGGAAGGAGAAAGGGAGGAGGGGAGGAGGGGAGGAGGGAGGGAAGGAGAATGGGAGGAGGGGAGGAGGGAGGGAGGAACAGGGTAAAAAAGGGGGGGATGGGAGGGAGGGTCAATGCATTAGCTTGGTCAGCAATACTGATAAGTAAATAAACTTTTTCTATCTTTTGGTTGATTTGCTTTGTGATGCATCACTTGTGTGCTCTATGAATGTGTATGCATCGCTTGTGTGCTCTCTGATTCTCTTCGTTTCTTCTTCATGCATGTCTTCGCTGTGTCTTTTCGATTCCGTTATTCTTGTTATTGTATACTACATGGGGTTCTGTTTGTCCATCGTTGTGTGGGGTTTTGATCTTAACGGGTCTGTTTTTGTATTGGAGTGATGTGTTTGAAAAGTTTGGCTTGAAGCATAGTTTTGGTTTATATTGTGATTTGCGATACCCCGTGTGTGTTGGCACGCCGTCGGTGCACTCTGTTGCAATTTGTCGGGTGCACATGTGACGTTTTGGTGTGCGTGCATCGGGGCGTGGTGCATGTATGCCAAGTGCCTCACGCAGCTCGAGCTTGTCATTTTCAATTTGGCAGCTTTGCTCCCAAAGTGTACATGTCAATCTCAGCTGCAGCATGGAAGCATTCGTGCATCCTCCTTGTTGCATGCATTACTGCCTCTTGTGCGATTCCTCGTGTGTTTTGACACGCCGTTGGCGCATTCTGTTGCAACTTGTTGGGTGCACATGTGTCGTTTTGGTGCGCGTGCATCATGGCGGGGTGCATATATGTCAAGTGCCACACGCCGCTTGAGATTCTCGTTGTCAATTTGACAGCTTTTCTCCCGAAGTGTACATGTCAATCTCGGTTGCAGCTTGGAAGCATTCATGCATCGTCCTTGTTGCATGCATCACTTCCTCTTGTGCAATACCTCGTGTGTGTGGCACTTCGTTGGCGCACTCCGTTGCAATTTGTCGAGTGCACATGTATCGTTTTGGTGTGCGTGCATCTGGGCGCGGTCGTGTATGCCAAGTGCTACAGGCAACTCGAGATTGTCGTTGTCAATTTGGCAGCTTTGCTCCCGGAGTGTACATGTCAATCTCGGCCGCTGCTGCACGGAAGCATTCTTGTGTCCTCGTTGATGCATGCATCACTGCCTTGGTTGTTATATGCAATTCCCCATGTGTGTTTGCACGCCGTCGGCGCACTCTGTTGCAATTTCTCGTTGAACACATGTGCCATGTTAGTGTGCTTGCATCAGGGCGGGGGGCATGCTCGATGTGTTTTGTAGATTATATGCGTGCTTATTGTTTTTATGCGACACGTACTATTAGTTTGGTCTCGCACATTTTTACTGTTGTCGGAAACCGCTTGTGCCACACTTATTTTCCTTCCGCCGTTATTATCGACAGTGGAAAAGTAGGACGCATGAATGTTTCCGACAAATTTCGTGAAGTTGTTGGCGATTCTTACATGACGCACCTGCTGTTCGTATCGAGCATGTAATATTTTGTTCTTCCATCTTATTTGGTGGTGAAATAATTGTGTACGAAATCGACAAACACGCACGCATGTGCCGGCTGATATTTTGTTGTCAATCTTACTGAATATCGGCACAAGAGTTATAGATGTGGTTTTCTACCATGTTTGTGCTCTATTAATCTTCATAGCGGTGGAGCTCTCAACTATTTCTCACCATAAAATGTGCTAGTTATGAAAGGCAGTACAAGGAGCTGGGCCTCAGAGCTAGCAGCGCGGTAGCTGGCCTCTAGCGTGCGCAGGTGAGTGGCGAGATCAGCGACAGTGGGAAATGATGCAAGGTCAGGGAAGAGGAGGGGGAGAAGAAGACGGCCGGCAGAGGCGGAAGAGGAAGTGGAATAGCGCGCAATGACGGCATCTAACTACTCATGCGCAATCTCTAAGGCGTAGTAGCGGGGGCGCTCAGACAGGGGGAGGGCGCAACTTATAGCAAGCTGCACGACTGCATTACGCGACTCCCAGACAAAGCGGGCGAGCTCAGCAGCTGCAAAGGCTTCAGGCTCAGCAGGCATGGGGGCGTCAGAGAGGGCAGTAGGTGGGTCAGGGCAGGGGATCTTACCATCGACGTGGACGACCAGAGAATGGCCATCCTAGCGCTGTCCCCTCAGCGAGCGGTGGAGGTTGGCGAGCCACGCCTCAAAGTCGATCGCCCGACCCTCCGCGTCCAGGCGGAGCACAGCGTCAGCCATCACCACGGCTGCAGCAGCGGACCGCCGCGAGAGGAGGAGGAGGAGAGAGCGGTGGGGAGCGGTGGAGAGCGGCGGTGAAGACGGCCTGCGGGAGCGCCGGCGCAGAGGAGGGAACCAGGGTCGGTGGGTCAGGGCGGCACAGCGACACGGCGGCGCGGCGGCTTGGCGGCTCGGCTACTCAGCGGCGCAGCTACTCGGCAGCTCGGTGGCTCGGTGACTCAACGGCTCGACAGCTCGGCGGCGTGGCAGCTTGGCGGCACGGCGGCTCGGCGGCGCGGCTCGGGGGCTCGGCAGCTCGGCGTCAGGGGCTGGCCCGAAGTGGCGAGGTCGGCGCGAAGTGACGGGGCCGGCGCGAAGTGGCAGGGGCCGATGCGAAGTGGCGGGGCCGGTGCGGTCTGGCGAGGCCGGCGCGTGCGCGGACGGCGCAGGCTCAGGCTCGGGCGGCGCGGGCGCGGCGCAGACGGTGCTGGCGCGGCTCGGGCTAGGGCACAGCTAGGACACGGGCTAGAGCTATTGCTAGGGGCTATGGGCAGTAGCGTAAGCGGGGAGGGTGGACCTAACGTAGCGAGATACCATCTCATAATAGCGCAATGACTAGAATGAGGCATACAGGCAGGTTTTGTGCTACGGTGATGTACTCTCTAGAAGCATGCACCTATCTAGCCTATAACAATATATAAATATGTTGACAGCTTCGTCATTCCATTGTACCACATTCGATTATTCTGAATCTCGACATTCGATTCTGTGCTACTCTGGTTAAACGCTCATAACAAAATCAGTCCCCAGCCAGGGCACTATAGTTTCGTTGCGTGCGTGCCAAATACGCACTCGTCTGCAGAATCGTGAACTGAGCTGCAATAGTTGCGACATCGCCCACCGGGTCGTAGGGCGGCGGTCGTCAGGTCAGTTGCATTGCAGTCGCACATATGTGTTTGTTCGCGTCTATCTGCGTTCGGGGGCCCCTAAAAATCAGAAGTGAATCAAAAGTGGTGCACACAAAATATTCAACAAGGGCTCACTTGAATGTCCCCTGTGCTATTTTAGACTGGGGATTGAATCAAATAAACCACGTATCAAGGGTGGTCAACAGATCTAACATGGGATGATCACCCTCTTATCTAATCTTTGTAGGGCGAATTCCTACAAAGTTGCATCAGAATCAGGAACGCGCGTAACTGAAATGAACCACACTGAAACGCGATTCAAACACTCGCACCGCACAGTACTGCATGATTCTGATCCAACTTGATTCTGATCCTTGTTCATAGGACTTCGCCCTAAAATGGTAAATTCAATTACCAACTTGATACATGCATACTGCTCCAGTCCAGACAGAAGGCAGGGGGCTTTTGTTTGTAATCAATGGTATAGATGGTCTCACGCCAGCATCATGAAAGCCTATGGGATGTCAATAATCTTTATGAAATCAACCACAATGTCATGACACTCTAACTGTATCGTCAATGAACACCACCTTGCCTTCACCATGCAGCCGCCCTAGAGCTTCCCGAACCTTAAACAACAAGGGCAAGGCAAATCAAGACGGCAGGTAAATGGGTTAAAACCACAGGCTAGAATAGCACACCTGTGGAGCTTGAATAAATGTTTCGTTTTGGGGCAGACCCTTTGGTGCGTTTTCTATTTCCGAAAGGGTATGGGACTTGAAATTGTCTGTAATGCGAAGTAGCTTTGCTACGTTATTGGTGTGCGACGATTGATTTGGCGTCAGATGCTCGGCGGCAGGGCTTCTTAAGTCAGGACAAAATGCCCTGAAATGCTGTATATCAGGGTTTTTTTTAGGGTCGTCCTGTTTTTTCAGCTTTTGATTTTTCCTAGGCCTGAATTTTAGGGGTTGTCATTTGAGCAGGCCTGAAATATTGTATGTTCTTGTTTTTGTCATCCTGAATCATCAGCCTTAACGGATTTCCACCCTGAAACAGAATTCTATCTGACTGGTCGAGGCGAGTTGGAGCAGCTGTGAGGGGCGTGTCTAGGGCCAATTTTTGGATTTTTACTACTCTGAAATCAGGGAGTACCTTTTTCCATTACTCTGAAAAACAGAGTGCTCCCCAATGGTTTCTCTGATTTTCCAGGGTTTTTTTTACTTATAAAAAAATTTCACTGATAATGCAGAGGTTTTTTTTACGTAACTCTCTGAAGCAGGGTCATCTGTACGCGCGAGGCAAGATCGAGAGAGGGGGGAAACGAAGGGGAAGGATCGAGAGATTGCAGGGGCAGAGGGAATCGAGCTGGTGGGGAGGTCGACACAGCAGGGCCGGGGAAGGGGAATCTTGCACTCCCCTCCCCCTTCGAGCACAAATGGCTTGGTATTTTTGGTGAAGGGACAATTGGCCCCCTCACATAGCCTTGAGCACAGTCCAGGCTATGATTTCACTGGTGCGCGTGACATGCCCTGTTCTGCGGGACATGGGGGCACGGCTAGGAACAGGGGGCGGGGACAATTTCACGGGTATCCCCCCTATACACTGACTATCAGAGTGGTACGAAGGTTTACTCTGATAAAATCAGAGTAAAAGGAATATTTCATTTTGTTTACTCAGGGCCCCTAGAGTAGTTTTCAAAAACGACTATGATTTTCAGAGAAACAGAGTAAATTACTCCGATAAAATAGGCTTGGGCGTGTCTTGTCCTTAGCCATAATGACGCAGGTGACGCAAGCTGGAGCACATGTGAGGGGTGTGATTGGTCCTTCGCCAAAATCACGCAGGCAGTTTGACACGAGCTGGAGCACGTGTGAGGGGCGTGACTGGACCTTAGGCAAAATTACACAGGTAACGCGCGTTGGAGCAGATGTGAGGGGCGTGATTGGTCCTTCGCCAAAATCACGCAGGCAGTCTGACGCGAGTTGGAGCAGGTGTGGGGGGCGTGACTGGTCCTTGGCTAAAATCACGCTAGTAGTGTGAGAATTTGTATGCAATGAAGTCCGATCTGATCTAAGAATCATAAACCTAAAAAATGTACCTGATGAGTCAGGCTTTTTTTTTTTTGGTCTGACAAAACATGCCATGTCTAACATAATGTGCTAGGTTAAAATCCTACCCACCCTAAAAAATCGTCAAGGTTCAACCTATCATCTCAGCTCTGAAAATTTTCAGTCCTGATTTTTCAGCCTTCGAAAAATTTTACCCTGAAAAAAATTGCAACTTCCAAAACCCGACCCTGAAAAACGGGGGCTCCCTGAGCCAACAGCCCCTCAAAATCCAATCTGAAGCCCTGCTAGGCGGATCAAGTTGCGACTGACCGCTCACACAGCTCAGTTTTTTCAAGAGCTCCATGGGTGTGCAATAGGTTTTTAACCCAAGGTTTACCTGGGTCGCATTTTGCGCAATCCATGTGGCTGTTTGGCACACAAGTTGCACAGTTCACCTTAACCCTAGTCGCGAGTCGCGGTCGAGGGAGCTTCGTAATGTGAAGCTTAAACACGTACGCCGAATCCTCCCGAGGTACAGTATGTTTTTTTCGTTTCACCAAGTTGGCAAAAAGTCAATTGAGTCGCGCACGCGTTTCCCGCCTCGTCGCACATGCGTCAAATCGGCGCCACTGCGTTTCTATCATTTTTTCAGCTGCCCAAAAACCTCGCAAAATCGTACTGGGAAGCCGTTTTTTTTCAAAAGAACCATCTTCAAGAACGGCGCTCTTGAAGCCCCCCCTATGCTACTTCAGCCTGTGGTTTTAATATTTAACCGTGGATATTTGCTATTTGAAATGCTTGGTGCCGGGCGCCTTTTCCAAGGTTACTCCACCAAGGCACGGATGGTTGCCTTTAGAGGAGCCCTTTCCAACTGGCCTAAACAAATAACTCACCTCAAAGAGTGTGACAGGCACGGACGACTGCTGCCGTAGGTCCTCCCACACCTGCAAAAGCGGTGCAAATGGATTCAAACGGGTGGAAAGGACTACACATGTGCGCAGAGGGACATACGTGTGAGAAAAGGTGAAAAAGTAGTTACTTGTATTAGGAAAGGAGCGAGTATACATAGGTGAGGAGTAGGAGGGGGGGTTTGGTTGGGAGGTGACCACGATTATTGGTCAATCCAATAAGTTGGGTTGGCCAACTTATTGGGGTTCCAATAATCATAGCCAACATTATTGGTGGGTCCAATAATCTTGGTTGGGATTATTTGGGGGTTCCAATAATTGGGAGCCCAACCAATTTGGGAACCCAACAAGGTTGGGAACCCAACCCCCAACTTGGGTGTATACACTTTAGTGGGGTGCGTATAAGTACCTAAGACAATGAAACAATGTAGGCTAATAGAATGAAGGTAGAATATTCTAACAATAACTGGGTGCAACTCATAGAGGTAACGTTGAAGCATACACACAGAAGCCATTTGGTGTACAGCCAAGGGAAACAACATGGGTGGGTGCAACACTTGAGGCGCAACAAAGCTCAGACAAAAGGGGAGACTTCTGAGACTACTGAGGCTAAAGGGGAGCCGTTGGAGGCTCAAAAGCGATGCTTTTGAGGCTGAAAGGGATGCTTTTGAGGCTGAAAGGGATGCTTTCGAGGCTGAAAGGGATGCTTTTGAGGCTGAAAGGGATGCTTTTGAGGCTGAAAGGGATGCTTTTGAGGCTGAAAGGGATGCTTTTGAGGCTGAAAGGGATGCTTTCGAGGCTGAAGGGACGTCCTGAAAGGGAGACGTTTGAGTAAACTCAGAGCTGACAAATTAGAGTGGATGGTCAGAAGCTGACAACACAGTGCACTTGATATCCTGAGGCGCTCAAAGGGAGATTTTTTAAAAAGGACTAGAAAAAGCTTCTAGGGCAAGGCTAGAGGAGACAACATAGGCCAGTGAAATGGGTGCACCTGCATGCGCTTGGCTTGCTTTTGGGAGCACCAGAAGTAACCTGTGGGGCCCTGAAAGAGGGGCGGGAGGCAGTGGCCCTGTCCTCCTGCAGGAAAGAAAGCAATGCTTCCTGCAGCTGCATGCGCTTGAATTGCTCGCTAACCACTATGCGCTCTTACGAGCTGACTCGAGAAGTACCTGGGGAGCTCGGAAAGAGGAGCGGGACACAGTGGCCCTGTCCAGCAGGAAGGAGAGCAGTGCCTCCTGCAGCTGTGTGAGCTTGGCTCGCTCACTGGGCCACATGAACCGAGTACGACCTACCAGAGGCCTCCCGACGTTACCTGTGGGACCCTGAAGGAGGAACGGGAGGCAGTGGCCCTATCCTGCAGGAAGGAGAGCAGCGCCTCTTGCAGCTGCATGAGCTTGGCTCTTTCTCTTGGGCACAAACATACAGCAATACCAGAGGCACCAGACCTTACATGAAGTGCTCGGAAGGAGGAGTGGGAGGCAGTGGCCCTGTCCTGCAGGAAGTACAGCACGCCTCCGGCAGCTGTGGGCGCTTGGCTCGCTCACTGGCCACCATGTGACTCAATGCGTACCTGAGGCGCTCGGAAGGAGGAGCGGGAGGCAGTGGCTCTATCCTGCAGGAAAGAGAGCAGAGCCTCCTGCAGCTGCATGCGCTTGGCTCGCTCGCTGGCCGACACCCCCGTGGTGATGAGGTCCATGTCAATGGTGCCCGTGTTGGGGTCCGTGGCCGACTGCTGCATTGCCACGTCTAATAACCTTCGAGCTTCGGTCACGTCTTCGTGGGTCACCTGGCAGGGACGAGGAGGGACGCACAGCACAGGGGTAGGCACACAGGTAGACACCCCCGTGGTGATGAGGTCATGTCGATGGTGCCCGTGTTGGGGTCCGAGGCTGACTGCTGCATTGCCACACCCAGGAGTCTGCGTGCCTCTGTCACATCCTCGTGGGTGACCTAGCACGGGAACAGGACGAACGTGGGTAGGATCAGGTACAGAGATGTGTGTGCTGTGCACTCTCCCATGCGGTCTCCCGTCTCAAGACACCCCCCTGGTGATGAGGTCCATATCGATGGTCCCCGTGTTGGGATCCATATCAGTGGCGTTGGCCGACTGCTGCATCGCCACATCTAATAACCTCCTTGCTTCAGTCACGTCTTCATGAGTCACCTGGCAGGGACGAGGAGGGATGCACAGCACAGGGGTACGCACACAGGTAGTAGCCTCCTCGCTTCAGTCACGCCTTTTTGAGTCACCTGGCCAGGATGAGGACGGACGAGTGGTGTTATGTGCATGAGAGCTTAAAGCTCGGTGGTGATGAGGTCCATATCGATGGTGCCTGTGTCGGGGTCCGTGGCCGACTTCTGCATCGCAACGTCCAGTAGCCTTCTTGCTTCTGTCATGACTTCGTGAGTCACCTGGCAGGGATGAGGAGGGATGCATAGGGTAGGCACATGGGTAGAAACTCCCCTGGCGATGAGGTCCATGTCGATGGTGCCTGTATTGGGATCCGTGGCCGACTGCTGCATCGCCACATCCAGGAGTCTTCTTGCCCCCGTCATGTCTTCATGGGTCACCTGGCATCACAGCGGGTGCACATGAGAGTGGGGTCGGACTTCTGTACACGAGCCTTTCGTCCCCCATGGTGATGAGGTCCATGTCAATGGTCCCCGTGTTGGGGTCAGTGGCTGACTGCTGCATCGCCACATCCATGAGCCTCCTCGCTTCAGTCACGCCTTCTTGAGTCACCTGGCCAGGACGAGGACGATGCACAGGGGTGGGTAGGCACACGGGTATACACCCCCGTGGTAATGAGGTCCATGTACATGATGCCTGTGTTGGGATCCATGACCGACTGGTGGATATGGCTAACCTGCCGTCACCAGCCATGGCCCATGGATATTTCCACCAACCGTACCACAGCCCCACTCCTAAGTCACTAGCCCCCTCACCACCCCGCCTTAACCGCGTTCACAGGTCACCTCAAAGTTCCAACCGTACCGTGGACGCCAGCTTCAGGCCTGATTAGGCCCAGCAAGATATCTCCCTCCTCACCGCCCTTACCGTGGACGCCAGCTTCAAGCGTGCGAGTGCCTCGCTGATGCGGATGAGACTCTCCAGCTGACGTGGCGTTGCAGTGATGACCTGGTATGGGTGACGTGGCATGTGGCACGTAATGACGTGGCAGGGAGAAGAGAATCGCAAGGAGGGACATGTCAGGAGGATGCGTGTGTGCACGCATGTATGTATGGACGCATGTATGTATGGACGCATGAAGCACCATCTGTGGAGGCTCCCTCTCCTCATGCTCCTCCTCTTTCCCTCTCCCCTGCAACACACACACACTCACACTCACCTTTCGCCCCGACCTCTACCCCCTCAGTTTCACATACGCGTTCACCTGCTGCTCTGCCGCCTTGTCACTCTGACCGCCCTTCTCCGGTAGCTGTCTTCCCAACCAACCCCTCACCTTTCGCCCCGATCCTCTCCCTCGCAGCTCCACATACGCGTTCACCAGCTCCTCCGCCGCCTCGTCGCTCAGTTCTGGGTGAATGCGCGTGCGCGCATAGGTGATGTACGAGGTGAGGGTTGCAACATCGATGGTTGCTGCTGCAGAAGCCTGGGGGCGCAAGACGAGGGGCGAAAAGGAACGGATATGCATGGCTGTTGCGTTTAGGAGACGGGCTCCTCTGCCGCCGTGTCACTTAGCTGCTCGGGGTGAATGCGCACGCCCGCATAGGTGATGTAGGACGTCAGTGTTTGGCACATCTACAAGTGGCAGAGGCAAAAAGGCCTGGGGGTAAAGATGGGGGAGGGGGGAAACGGAAAGCCAGCGAGGAAAGGACGTGGGTGAATGCGCGTGCGCGCTTGGTAGATGATGTAGGAGGTGAGTTTTGCTACTGCGTCTAAGGTGGCTGCTGCAGAGGCCTGGGGGTAAAAGGAGGGAAAACAAGGGGTGGTTTCACATGGGTGGTGGGGAGAGGGGCATTCACCTGCTACCCAGGACAACCCACAGCACCCGATGGCACCCCACGGCACCGCACTGTCCCGCACACAGTACCCCTGGGTTCTTGTAATTCAGAGCCACGAGATGGCTGGTGGCCTTTCTAGACTCTCAAATAACACATGCGAGCAATGAGAAAGCACCTGGAAATTGTCTCTCGAAAGCCAACCAAGCAGCGTAGTAGTAGCACACGCACCTCGGGGTTCTTGTAGTGCAGAGCCACAAGATGGCGGGCCAACCGACGGTCGGATTGCTCCTCCGCTTTGTCGAGAACCAGGTAGATGAGGTCGAACCTGGCGGGGGAACAGTTGAGAAGGAAAGTGGAAGTTATGGGAAGGAGCAACAAAGGACAGGACGGACGAAAAGGGATTGCTGCTCTGATTTGTCAGCGAAGAAAACAGCACAAGGCAAATTGTTCTTAGAGAGTTCTCTAAAACCAGCTTTGCCCGGAACCAGGTAGATGAGGTCGGACCTGGCGTGAGAAGAAAACAGCACAGGGAAAATTGTTCTTTGAGAATTCTCTAAAACCAATTTTGCCCAGAACCAGGTAGATGAGGTCGAACCTGGTGGGCAGCAGCACAGAAGGAAAATATATTGAGAAGAAAGAAAGAGAGATTGCTAGTCGACTCAAAGTGGGCAGCATTTTTTAGTGGACTCAAAAGTGGGCAGCAGCACAGAAGGAAAAGATATTGAGAAGAAAGAAAGAAAGAAAGATTGCTCCTCCGCTTTGCCCAGAACCAGGCAGTTGAGGTCGAACCTGGCGTGAGAAGAAAACAGCACAGGGCACAAAAGCACAGGTGAGAGAATTGAGAGAGAGAAAAAAAGAGAAACAAATTGAACAAGAGAAACCAATACGATACCTGGAGAGTAGAGTGGGCGGCAACTGTATGTTGTCAATGACGGAGAGGCGCGGGTTGTAGCGTGAGCCAGCGGGGTTGGCGCATGCGAGCACGGACGTGCGTGCGTTGAGCGTCGCGATGATGCCAGCCTTGGCCACCGACACGGTCTGCTGCTCCATGACCTGATGCGAGAGGGAGGGAGGGAATCACGCATGCAAGGACAGATGTGCGTCCATTGAGGGTCGCGATGATGCCCGCCCGGGCCACTGAGACGGTCTGCTGCTCCATGACCTGTCAGAGAGGAAAAAATCAATATCACCTCAAATCACATCACATTACATCACATCAAATCAGGTCATACTACATCGCATCGCATCGCATCACATCGCATCACCTCACCTCACCTCACTTCACCTCACCTCACCTTACCTCACCTCACCTAAAAACACGGGCAAGCACCACCCCCTACCTCATGCAGCATGCTCCTCGCATTGACGGACAACTTGTCAAACTCATCAATGCAGCAGATGGCATCTGTACGTTCTAATTTATGTACGCAGCACGCTCATACACCCATCATCCCACCCACCTCATGCAACATGCTCCGTGCGTTGTCGGACATCTTGTCAAACTCGTCGATGCAGCAGATGCCTCTGTCGCTCAGCACCAGTGCCCCGCTCTCCAGCACCTAGAGCGGTCAGGGGAGAGGCAGGGGAGAGGCAGGGGAGAGGCAGGGGAGAGGCAGGGGAGAGGCAGGGGAGAGGCAGGGGAGAGGCAGGGGAGAGGCAGGGGAGGAACAGAAGGGCCGGAAACATGGCGCACATGCAGCATATAGGGCAGTAAAACATCTGAAGCATGAAAGTTGCTACGTTGGATTCCCGATCAACAGCCCTTCTTCTCACCATTTCTCTTGTCCCTGGGTTCTTGGTAAAAAACACAGTCAGCCCCACACCACAGCACTGCAGTGCTCGTGGAACGTGGTTCCCTCTCCCACTTAAAGACTATCCGCTCCCCTGCTATCTTGGGCTGACATCCCGCAGCAGCAGCTACGACTCTTGAGCTGACTCAACAACACCCAGCTCTTCCGCTCACCATTTCCCTTGTCCCGGGTTCCTTGGTCACATAAGACGTGAGCCCCGTGGCACTGCTGCCTCTCCCGCGCGTGTAGACCCCCCCGGGCACTATCTTGTGCACAGACTGCAGCAGCTGCAACTCTTGTGCTGACTCAAGTTACAACAAACAATCAGCTCTATGGCTCACCATTTCTCTTGTCTCTGGATCCTTAGTCACTAAGCCGTGAGCCCCAGAGCACTGCTCCCTCTGCCACCCATACAGATCCCCGTGTTGCTATCTTGTGCACGTACTGCAGCAGCTGCGACTTGCCCGTACCGACTCAAGCAACAACAGAGTGCATTTACTGCTCACCATTTCCCTGGTCTCCGGGTCTTTCGTGACGTATGCCGTCAGCCCCACAGCACTGCTCCCCCTGCCACTAGTGTAGATCCCCCGCGGGGCTATCTTGTGCACGTACTGCAGCAGCTGCGACTTGCTCGTGCCCGGATCCCCCACCAACAGCACGTTCATGTCGCCTCGGAATTGGACCCCTGAAGAGAGGCGTTTCACCGACCCGCCGAACAGCTGGGAGAGGGAGGATGGGAAGAGAGTCGGGAAGGGGGCACAAGAGCTTAAGGGACCTGAGCATAGGATCCCCCACCAGCAGCACGTTCATATCGCCTCGGAATAGGACCCCGGAGGACAGCCGTTTTACTGAGCCTCCGAATAGCTGAAGTGGAGAGGAGGGGCCAGAGTATGCTCAGCTCAGACACATCAGCGTGCGATCCCCCACGAGCAGCACGATCAAATCGCCTCAAAACTGCACCCTAGAGGATAGCCGCTTGATTGACCCACCAAAGAGCTGGGGGAGGGAACGAAGGGTGATTAGAGTTGTCAACTCAAAGGTACCGTGGTGCCGGAATCCCCCACCAGCAGCAAGTTCATGTCGCCTCGGAACTGGACCCTGGATGTTGGGCATTTGACCGACCCACCAAATAGCCGCAGGAGTGGAAGGAGAAGAGCACGGGGAAAAAGAGACGAGAGCGCCTTTGAGTGGGATCCCCCACACACACTCTCACAGCACAGTCGTAGATCAATTACAGGTGGGCTGCGGAGGACTTAATTCCATCAAGTCTGTAGGTTAGCACAACAAAACGAACCCCATAGGCGAGATTGCCTTTAGGAGAGAGTTAAGGGAGGCCAGTTAGCTTGTGTCGAGGTTATGCAGCCAGCTTGAGAGACGACAGCGCCTGAGAGTGGGATTCCCCTCACTCTCACAGCACAGTCCTATCGCCTCGGAACTGCACACTGGATAACAATCGACTACCCGCCACACACAGGACCCCTTCTGAGCCGACTCAAACGCCACACACAGCAGCCCTTTTGAGCCGACTCAAACGCCACACACAGCAGCCCTTTTGAGCCGACTCAAACGCCACACACAGCAGCCCTTTTGAGCCGACTCAAACGCCACACACAGCAGCCCTTTTGAGCCGACTCAAACGCCACACACAGCAGCCCTTTTGAGCCGACTCAAACGCCACACACAGCAGCCCTTTTGAGCCGACTCAAACGCCACACACAGCAGCCCTTTTGAGCCGACTCAAACGCCACACACAGCAGCCCTTTTGAGCCAAATCAAACGCCACACACAGCAGCCCTTTTGAGCCGACTCAAACGCCACACACAGCAGCCCTTTTGAGCCGAATCAAACGCCACACACAGCAGCCCTTTTGAGCCGACTCAAACGCCACACACAGCAGCCCTATTGAGCCGACTCAAACGCCACACACAGCAGCCCTTTTGAGCCGACTCAAACGCCACACACAGCAGCCCTTTTGAGCCAAATCAAACGCCACACACAGCAGCCCTTTTGAGCCGACTCAAACGCCACACACAGCAGCCCTTTTGAGCCGAATCAAACGCCACACACAGCAGCCCTTTTGAGCCAACTCAAACGCCACACACAGCAGCCCTTTTGAGCCGACTCAAACGCCACACAGCACCCCTTTTGAGCCGACGCAAACACCACACACAGCACCCCTTCCCCCCCACCTGACACAGCAGCCCCTTCTTGATGTCATCGATTTCACAGATGGATGGGGCTAGGGAGCGAGCCTGCTCTTCACATCAACCCTCACTAGAACCAACAGCCGCCTTCGCTCATACCCTAACTTCGCCCCTACCTGGCACAGCAGCCCCTTCTTGATGTCATCCAGCTCATAGATGGATGGCGCTAGGGAGCGAGCCAGCTTCTCGTATATGTCCGGCTGCCGGGATAACTCCCTAAATGCCTCCACCTGGGGAGGCGCACAGGGGAAGAGGGCAGGTTCTTGATGAGGCGACTTTTGAGTAAACTTAAAAGCCAGGGAGCAAGCCATTTTCTCGTATATGTCCGGCTGCCGGGATAGCTCCCTAAATGCCTCCACCTGGGGAGGCGCACAGGGGAAGAGGGCAGGTTCTTGATGAGGCGACTTTTGAGTAAACTTAAAAGCCAGGGAGCAAGCCAGCTTCTCGTATATGTCTGGCTGCCGGGATAGCTCCCTAAATGCCTCCACCTGGGGAGGTGTGGAAAGACAGAGGAGCTCAGGAGGAGTGGACTGATATGTTGAGGCACCCAACGAAACGAACCAGCTTCTCGTATATGTCAGGCCAGTGGGATAGCTCTCGGAATGCCTTCACCTGGGGAGGTGTAAAGTGGGAGGGAGGAGCACAGCAAAAGTCGACAGATGGATGATGAAATAGTTGATATTGCACGCTTTTTTTTTGCCTGACATGGATGGATGGATGGATGGATGGATGGATGGATGGATGGATGGATGGATGGATGGATGGATGGTTGATGGATGGTTGGATGGATGGTTGATGGATGGTTGGATGGATGGTTGATGGATGGTTGGATGGATGGTTGATGGATGGTTGGATGGATGAGCTGGTTGGCTGGATGGACAAAAGAGGACATACCTGCTGCGGAGAGAAGTACGCAGCATCGGGGTTGGCGTCATCCGCATCACCCGCAGCAGAGGCCGCCAGCGGTTGCGGCTGCGACTGCTGCGCTGCTCCCTTGGTGCGCGTGCGGCCCCCCTCTTCCTTGCGGATGTGAATGCAGTCCAGGTAGGTCTGAGAGGGGAGAGGGGAAGGGGGGGAAGAGAGGGAGGGGGGGTAAGGGTAGGTTACGAAGGGTGTTCTGGGCGGCGTCAAATGCACCCCCCTCCTCGTTGAGAGGGGGAACCGGGGGGGGGTGGGGGGAGGGGAGGGGGGAGAAGATAGAGGGCAATGGAAGAAGGGAGGAGGAGTGGAAGCTTGGTGCAGAGAGGGGAAAGGGGATGCGGGCGGGATAGCCAGGAGGAATCCATGGGATAGCCAGGAGGAATCCACGGAAGAGCAAGGAGTGGGCTGTTTTGACACGTGGATGCCTGCCCTTTCTGGCAGATAGCCCCAAAACAGCTGCATGCAGCAAAACGTCGCTTTGTCAATGTTAGTTTGCAGCAAAAAAGAAGAGAGAAAGAGAGAGACAAAGCGCTGGTAGTAAAGGGGCAGGGTCACTGGGCTAAGCTCACTAGCCTATTCCTTAGGCCACAAACGTCAGGTACTCCGCCAACAACATAATCACCACACCACACTTCTGCGGCGGAGGCCAAGTAGCACCCACCCACCCACCCACCCAACCACCCACCCGGTACAGCGAGCGCAGGTTGCGCTGATTGGAGTTGACTCGCACAGGCACAGCGCGGAAGACACCCGTGACCTGCATTCGGAGTCAAGAGGGCCGTTCCAAGGGGCACACACAAAAGCCAAACCAGACCAGATCAGGGCCGTTGCTAGGCGCCTCAAAACACGGACAAGGGCAGAGTTTAGAGTGTAGAGTTCCAGCATCTCTTGCCTCAGCACATGTAGAGTTTAGGGTGTAGGGTTCCCCCATTATTGCCCCAGCCAGGCACAATGCGGGCGGTCTTCCCCTCAGGCATGTCCCTCTCTACTCAATACACCCAATCTGGTTCCATGTGGTAACCATCTCACCTCCACTCTATCGCCCGGCTTCGCAGTATTTGCGAGCGAGTCAAACAGGAACACAGACACCGTGTGGGGGTTCTCCCCCTCCGGCATGTCTTCCGATGTCTCCTGCAGCCGCTAAACCCCTCTTTGTGCATGGAAGTAGCAACCCCTCACCTCCATCCGATCGTCCGGGTTGGCAGTATCCACCGATGAATCAAACAGCAACACCGTTCACAACCCCTCTGTGTGCACACAATCATCCTCTCACCTCCACTCTATCTCCCGGCTTGGCAGTATCCACCAGCGAGTCAAACAGGAACACAGACACCGTGTGCGGGGTCTCCCCTTCAGGCATGTCTTCAGGTGTCTCCTGCAGGCGCAGCATCTGCTTGTTGATGAACCGGCTCCGGTTGTGCACCAGGGTCATGCTGTTCAGCGCCCCGCACTCTGGCCAGGGACACCTCCTGGGTTCCTCTATCACTCCTGGAAGGTTGGAAAGGGAGGGGAAAAAGGTAGGGGAGAGAAGGGAGGGATGTTCTCAGGTGTCTCCTGCAGCCGCAGCATCTGCTTGTTGATGAACCGGCTCCGGTTGTGCACCAGCGTCATGCGGTTGAGAGCCCCGCATTCGGGCCACGGGCACCTCCTTGGCTCCTCTATTACCCCTGATGAATAGCAACAGCGGAGGGTGGGGGGAGGGGGGAGGGCGCGGAGAGGAAAGGGCAGATGGGAAGACCAGGAAGGGAAGAGGTGTGTCCTACAGTCAGTCATAGCGTCTGCTTGATGTTGAACTGGCTTACCTCGGTCAACCCTAAACCTGAAACCCTTAACCCTAAAAATCTACATCCGAAACCCTAAATCCTGAGGTCGAAGAATGACCGCACACCAGGCACTTCAAGTATTCGAGGTGAGAAGGTTAGCGGGTAAAGAAAAGGGGAAGAGAAGGGGGATGAGAAGGGGGAAGCGAAGGGGGAAGAGAAGGGGAAGAGAAGGGGGATGAGAAGGGGGAAGCGAAGGGGGAAGAGAAGGGGGAAGAGAAGGGGGAAGAAGGGGGAAGAGAAGGGGGAAGAGAAGGGGAAGAGAAGGGGGAAGAGAAGGGGGAAGAGAAGGGGGAAGAGAAGGGGGAAGAGAAGGGGGAAGAGACGGGGGAAGAGAAGAAGGGGGAAGAGAAGGGGGAAGAGAAGGGGGAGGAGAAGGGGGAGGAGAAGGGGGAAGAGAAGGGGGAGGAGAAGGGGGAGGAGAAGGGGAGGAGAAGGGGGAAGAGAAGGGGAAGAGAAGGGGGAAGAGAAGGGGGAAGAGAAGGGGGAGGAGAAGGGTGAAGAGAAGGGGGAAGAGAAGGGGGAAGAGAAGGGGGAAGAGAAGGGGGAAGAGAAGGGGGAGGAGAAGGGGGAGGAGAACGGGAAAGAGAAGGGGGAGGGGGAAGAGAAGGGGGAAGAGAAGGGGGAAGAGAAGGGGGAGGAGAGGGGCAAAGCAATGACGTGGTTCTGCTTACCCCTGTCTACAAGCACGAGGTCGGGCGAGTGGCCGCACACCAGACACTTGAAGCAGGCCGCCTTGATGTCTGGGATGATGGACGACGTGCGGATCACCATGCCCCGCACGGCCACCAGAGCATCGATGTCTGGTTGTGTAGGAGGGGAGACGGGGGTGAGAGAGGGGTGACAGGCAAGGGGAGGAGGGGAGGAGGGGAGGAGGGGAGGAGGGGGAGGAGGGGAGGACAAGCCTTGATGCCGGGGACGTTGGACGACGTGCGGATCACCACGCCCCGCACGACCACCAGGGCGTTGATGTCTGATTGGGAAGGAGAGGAAGCAGGGGGAGACAGGCAAGGGGACAGGGGAGGACAAGCCTTGATGCCGTGGATGCTGGAGGGCGTGCGATGACCACGCCCCTTACGACCACCACTGCCTCCATGTCTAGTTTTAATGGAATAGGAGCGGGAAGGGAGAGAGAGGGGAGGCGGAGGCACACAAGGCACTTGACACTAACAGCCTTGATGCCTGGGATGCTGGAGGGCGTGCGGTGTGGATGACCATGCCCCCTGCGGCCACTGGAGCATGAGGAGTCTATTTTGAGGCGCCTGAAAAATAGACTCCTCAGCCTTGATGCCTGGGATGATGGAGGGCGTGCGGAGCAGTTGACCATGCCCCCTGCGGCCACTCGGCATCAATATCTGGTTGGAATGGAATAGGAGAGGGGAGAGGGGAGAGAGGAGAGGGGAGAGGGGAGAGGGGAGAGGGGAGAGGGGAGAGGAGAGAGGGGAGAGGGTGAAAGGTGGGACAAGAGTTGCTCTTATGTCAGGAATGATGGAGGAGGTGCGGATGACCACGCCCCACACTGCTGCCCGCGCATCAATGCCTGGTCGGCGTGGGGAGAGAAAGCACAAAAAGAGGAGATTACAGAAAGAGGAGATTTCAGAAAGAGGAGATTTCAGAAAGAGGAGATTTCAGAAAGAGGAGATTTCAGAAAGAGGAGATTTCAGAAAGAGGAGATTTCAGAAAGATGAGATTACAGAAAGAGGAGATTTCAGAAAGAGGAGATTTCAGAAAGAGGAGATTTCAGAAAGAGGAGATTTCAGAAAGAGGAGATTTCAGAAAGAGGAGATTTCAGAAAGATGAGATTACAGAAAGAGGAGATTTCAGAAAGATGAGATTACAGAAAGAGGAGATTACAATGCCATGGCGGTCAGAACGATGCATGAGGTACGGCTACAGGGGCGTGCTTTGGAGGGTATGGAATACACACCTGAGGGGTTGAGATCGCGCATGTGCACCGTGTCACGCAGGTTGAACGTGCGCACCTGAGGGGGGAGGGGAGGGGGTGGCGTAGGTAGGAACGAACGGGAAGAGAAGGAGGAGTGGCAAAGGAACAAAAGGGGGGAAAACCCAGCTGGGTGTAATGAGTCGATTTTTTAGTCGACTCAAAAACCCAGCTGGATTTGCTTGTAAACAGACATGCCTAAGACACCCACCAAGATGTGCTTGTGACAGATGCGGTAAAAACACCCACCTGGGTGTGCTCGTAACAGATGTGCTTATACCGCCCACCTGGATGTGTTTGTCCCACATGGGCATGCGGTCGGCCGCCAGCTCAGCAATCTTGATGTCGAAGATCGGGATGACCTCCAATGGGTAGCGCACAAGCATGCGGTACAGCTCAGCAGAGAACGCGTACACGTCAGCACAGTCCACAGGGAATGTATCTCCTTCCATCTCTACTAGCTGGCGTGATTGAAATGTGAGGGGGAGGGGAATGTGGAATTGATGGGGGGTTTGGGAGACCACCCATCTGGGAAAGGCTGAGAGGCAGAGAAGGCATGTGCAGTCCAGTGGGAAGCTGTCTCCCTCCATCTCCACCAGCTGACGGGATGAAGGGAATCGGGGATGTGGCCGAGGGGGATGTGGCCGAGGGGGATGGAGGGGGGGTGGAAAGGGAGAGGGCGGAAGGGGGGGATTGGATATGGCACTGCAGAGAAGGCAAGGCACACACGTCAGAACAGTCCACTAGAACGGTGCCCGTGCGTGATTGTGTGTTGTGCGGGTGTGGGGGGGAGGGGGGGGAGGGGAGGGAGGAAGGGGGGAACGGGGAAAGGTGGGGGATTGGTTGGGGGGTTTGGAAGGGACTGCTTGGTAGAGAAGGCGTACACGTCAGCACAGTCCACAGGGAATGTTTTTTAGAATTCTTTGTCTCCCTCCATCATCATCAGTGTGTGTGTGAAGGGGAGGGGGGGGGGGGGGGTATGGAAGTGGTAGGGGATTTGGGAGGGACTGAGAACCAGAGAAGGCATACGCAGTCCACGGGGAATGTGTCTCCTTCCATCTCCACCAGCTGGTGTATGTGTGCCACTGTGGAAGAGATGCAGGGGCAGGTGGCTTAAGTGAGAAAAGACAGATTTACACGAGTAGTTTGGAATATAATGACATGTGACAAGCAGGAGGAGAAACACGAGTAGTATTTCCTCATTAACCTATTATCCCTCTTGTGTGCTCCCTTGCCCTCATCCCTCTCACCCTAAACCCGCAACCTTAAACCTGAACTCCCCCTCACCTTGTCCGGCTGCTGCGAGTACTGGGTGTGAGTAGCATCGTCCGCCTCCCTAAAGTGCTGCACGAACGACAAAGACTTGCTTGCTCTCACTCCATCACCCTCCCTTATCTATCCCTCTCACATCCCCTCGTCCCACTGATCCTCACCTCGTGCAGCTGCTGCGAGTACTAGGCGTGAATAGCATCGTCGCCTCTCTGACGTGCTGCACGAACGATGCCATCTCGTTTGCTCTCATCCCCTCATCCCTCTCTTACCCCTCATCTCCATCACCATCACGCCACCCCCCCTCCCGCCCCAACCGCATCCCCCCCCCATTTTTACCTCGTCCAGCTGCTGCGAGTACTTGGCGTGGATAGCATCGTCTGCCTCTCTAAAGTGCTGCACGAACGACGCGAACTTGCTCGACCACGTCCTGCACGCTCACCCCCGTTGCCCCACACGTACGTTCCCTCCAGCTCCTCCTCCCCTCCTCCCCCATCGCCTCCGCCTCTCCCCCCAAGCGCATCTCCCCCTGCCCCTGCTCTCCCTGCTCCCCCTGCCCCTGCTGCCCCTGCTGCTGTTGCAGCTGCTGCTCCTCCTCTACCCCTCTGCGGCTGCCGATGCTGCTGCTGCTGCTGGTACTGCTCCCACGACATCCTGTCCTGCTCCGAGTTCCCTCCCTGCGTGGCATAAGCGAAGTGTGCAGGGGGGGGGGGGGGGGGGAGAAGGGAGGGCAACAAGTGTGCTTTTCAGGTGCTCACAGGTGGAATCGCCGCCTGCTGCTGCTGCTGGTACTTCTCCCACGACATCCTGTCCTGCTCCGAGTTCCCTCCCTGGCGTGGCATAAGCGAAAGTGATAAGGGCGAAGGGATGGGTAACAAGTGTGATGTTCAGGCGCCTCCCAGGCAGTATCACCAGCTGCTGCTGCTACAGCTGCGGATGCTGCTGCGGCTGGTACTGCTCCCACCACATCCTGTCCTGCTCCGAGTTCCCTCCCTGGCGTGGCATAAGCGAAGTGATAAGGGCGAAGGGATGGGTAACAAGTGTGATGTTCAGGCGCCTCCCAGGCAGTATCACCAGCTGCTGCTACTACAGCTGCGGCTGCTGCTGCCGTACTGCTCCCACGACATCCTGTCCTGCTCCGAGTTCCCTCCCTGGCGTGGAATAAGCGAAGTGATAAGGGCGAAGGGATGGGTAACAAGTGTGATGCTCAGGCGCCTCCCAGGCAGTATCACCAGCTGCTGCTGCTACAGCTGCGGCTGCTGCTGCCGCTGGTACTGCTCCCACACATCCTGTCCTGCCCTGAGTTCCCTCCCTGCCATGGAGTGAGCAGAGGGGAAGGTGAGCGGAGTGAAACGGGCGGGTGGGGGGAGTTGTAGAGTGTGGTAGGGGGTGGGGAGAGGAAGTAAAAGAGGGAGAGGGGAAGAGGGAAAGAGAGGGCCTGCATATCACAGTTTCACCTACCATGCTATCTGATGGCTCTGGTGGCCCTGGCGTGCTGACCGACAAGTGTGCCAGAAGGCGCACCTCCCCCAGATACCGCCTGCCCCGTTGCACTCTTGAGGCGACTCAAAAGCCAATGCCACCTACCATGCTATCTGACGGCTCAGGCGGCCCTGGCGTGCTGACAGGCGTGCCTGAAGGCACACACCCCCCGGATGCGGCCTGCCCCGATGCACCCTGCCTGCGGCGGTGGAACCTGCGACGCTGAGCCATGGAGCCGCCCAGGTCGCTTCTGGGGAAGGACGGACTGAATGGCGAGGAGGTGGTGGGAATGGCCAAGAGTGGGGAATGGTCAAGAGTGGGGGAATGGTCAAGAGTGGGGGAATGGTCAAGAATGGGGGGGGCGGGAATGGTCAAGAATGGGGGGGCGGGAATGGTCAAGAATGGGGGGGGCGGGAATGGTCAAGAATGGGGGGGCGGGAATGGTCAAGAATGGGGGGGGCGGGAATGGTCAAGAATGGGGGGGCGGGAATGGTCAAGAAAGGAACTATGAGATGCGAAAGGAACAGGACAGGATAGACAGGAAGACGGGTTGACGTTTGACGGAAACCGTCAGACGACAAGACGAGTTATTTCAATTGAGTCAAGAAGGTAAAATAGGAACAACCTCCATGAGTTTATCCACAAAAAAATAACTTCGATGACTTTTTCCTTTTTTTCTCCCAAAATAGGACCTTTCTTCCTTTTTCCCATCAGCAAGGCGTTTTGAATATACATATAACCACGACAGATCCGCCTGAACTGACAAGAAATGGCTCCGCCAAGAAAACGAGCGACCCATAAAGCGGACAACCGCAGGGGGGAGCCAAGATTAGGGAAACGAGCGAGCGAGTGCGCGAGCGTGACGCACGTGGATCGGGAAGGTGGGTTGCTGCGAGCTGTACGGACTGCCGGCGCTCGCGCGAGGCGTCAGGTGCAGCTGAGGCGAGCTCGATCGCCCAGAATCCCGCGGAGTTAGCGGGGGTCTGCTCCGGCGTTCGCATGGATCCCTGCGGGGTTTGCGCCGGCGTGCGCATCGAGTCTTGCGGGGATTGCCCGGAGACGCCATTGCCGCCGCTGGCTGGATTTCCGTCTGATGACATCTTGCCGTAGGGTTAGTTAGATGGCAGTTGCATTGATCAGCAAGACACTACTAATGACACTACTAAGGCGATGTGAGAGGGAAATGCAATTCTGGAATCTGGAACCGTGTCGGTGTAGTAAGTCCTCATGTCAGATTTTTACCGCCGGCTCGTTGCAGGCCGACCCCGATAATCTGATAAACAATGCATGCGCATCTCTTACCTAACTTACTGATTTGCTATTATTTGCAAAACTTCACTTCTCAGGTTTGGGCCATAATTAAAATATTCACGCGATCAATGATGATAAGGGATGGATTGCACAAATCAACGAAACCACTTAATAGAAATGGTTAGAGACAGTTAAATACAAACTTCAATATGTTATGATAACATTCAAGTATCAATCAGCTGGTGAGAAACAAAATCGATTCTATTGAATCTGAAAATCATATACCATATTTATCCTTTCCCCCATAAGCTCAGACACCACACAGTACTCTTGCACTCTGTTTTGTGCTTGCAGCGGGTATAGAGGGTTTGTTCCTCGAGTGCCTGCATTGTCCGCCACACCACCTCCACTTCCAACTCCGCCCACTGCTCCTGCTCCAGCCCGCCTGCACCCGCCTACCACCATTCTCCCACTCTTGCAGCGCGCCGAACCCTTACAAGGATCACGCCAAGAAAAGACTCTCATTCTTTCATACATCGCGTCGAGTCGGAGGAAGGAGACTCCGTTCAATTCGATTCGCCGCTCTCATTCGTCGATTCGCCGCCATGTCCGCTCCGGAGAAGCCGCTGGTGTCGGAGAGGAGATGGCGGCAGGCGGGCTGAGCCTGGGCGCGCGCGATCTGTGCGCGCACCTGCTGATTCCGCTGAACCGGTGCCGCACGGAGACGCTGTTCGCGCCGTGGAAGTGCAGCGACGAGCGACACTCGTACGAGAAGTGCGAGTACGAGCTGTTCCTCCGGCGGATGAAAAAGATGGAGGCCTTCCGCGAGGCCACGCAATGAACCGATATAAGCACGCGCGATAGGTGAGGTGAGGGAGAGTGGATGCGTGGGATGAGGGACATAGGACGGGTGACTTTTCTTAGGCGCCTCATAACTCGTTTGAAAAAAGCTGTGGGGGTTTCGAGAGCTGACGCGCCTCACAACCCCTTCTCGAGAGCCGTGGAAGTGCGGCGACGAGCGGCACTCGTACGAGAAGTGCGAGTACGAGCTGTTCCTACGCGAGGAGTCTATGTTTGAGGCGCCTAAAAAATTGACTCCTCACGCATGGAAGTGCGGCGACGAGCGGCACTCGCACGAGAAGTGCGAGTACGATCTGTTCCTGCGGCGCATGCAGAAGATGCATGCGTTCCGCGAGGCCCCGCAATGACCTCGCTATAGTCACACGCCATAGGTGAGGGAAATTACTATTCGTGCCAAACCTCGTTGTTCAGGGGCAGGATGCAATGGATTCCTATCTGGGGATTGATTTATGGCCTCGTTTTAGTCCACGCTCAACGGGTGGGGGGAACTGGATGAGGGGCATAGTCATCGACGGCTGTGGTCATGTGATAGGGCGGGCGGATGTGCAATGACGAGGGCGTTTCCTGGACTTGTCGAACCGCTTCACGCTCAAGGGCGTTTTCTCAGGGTGATGCTCCTGTCTTTACCTTGAGCAGGGAGCATTGGTACGGAGAAGGCGAGAGGCTGATCTGATCTGAACTAGGGTCCTCTGACACACCTTTAGTATCACACGCTGTTGAATGCTATGACGAACCTGCTGCAATCTGTTGTTGCGTAACCCTAGACTCCGATGCTTTCTAAACGAGCTTTCAAGTGGGTGGTCACTCTCTGACCATGTATGCTCCCTGATCACGTCCTTTGATGCGCTTCTGTCATGATTCGGCCAATTTGGTGTTAATTTTCGGAGGAAAGGCACTGATGAAAGGTTCGAGAGAGAGCCAGATTCAAGCCTTGGTGCCCCTTTGCTTGTGTCATCAGCTAGGGTTTCCATTGGGGGCATTTCGGTTTGTTCATACCTATATGAGCCAGCACCTTGGATTGCCACTTCCATTGAAGCTTTGTACTTTTTCATTGTACCGTCATGCCTAAGCTTGTTATCGTTTCCCCATGTTTGTTTGGCCTCTGTTTTCTGCTCCAATGGCTTCGGTACTCTGCTCCAGGTTCAAGCATTTGTTCCAGGCCAAGGAACTACTGGACTTGACTAAGGCAAGCCCTGTGACATTCTCAATGTAACTTTCTCGAGTGCAGCTGTGATTACGAAAAACAAGCTGCAAGCTGTCTTGTGCATACATTCACTGTAGTCCGCAATGTGCATAGCATGGTAGGTGTTGCAGTATATTGTAGGACTCATTGTAATCGAAGACAATCGCCTGGTTACTCAAAATATGTGATATTCTATAGGTTCCCTATAGAATAACCGTCAATTAATTTGGAGATGCGTACATACTTTATCTTTACAGTTCACATGCAGCCTTCGTCCAATTTATACATATATTGTTACGTAGAAGTTATAGGCTAGATAGGGTATGTTCTAAGTGGGTACAACCCAAACGCTAAATCTCCCCTGTTCTCCCTTCTATTCATTCTTTCTAGTCTCAACATGGTATCACGAGTAGGTAGGTCCACCCACCCGCTTCCGCCCCGTGCTGCCACCTACCGAACCCTCGCACCCCTAGCTGGCCCCGCGCGCCCCTACGGCCCCGTCGCGCCCCTACGGCCCCGTCGCACCCCTACAGCCCCGTCGCGCCCCTAGCAAGCCCCGTCTCGCCCCTACCGGCCCCGTCGCGCTCCTACGGCCCTGTCGCGCCCCTAGCCGGCCCCGTCGCGCCCCTACCGGCCCCTTGCGCCTCTAGCCGGCCCCGCGCGCCACTACGACCCCTCGCGCCCCTAGCCGGCCCTGTCGCGCCCCTACCGGCCCCTCGCGCCCCTAGTCGGCCCCGTCGCTCCCCTACCGTCCCCTCGCGCCCCTACGGCCCCTCGTGCTCCTACCAGCTGGCCCCACGCGCCCTTGCCGGCCCCTTGCGCCCTAACTGACCTCGTCCCCTGAGCTGTCGAGCCGCCGTGTCCCCCGAGCCGCCGAGTCGCTGCGCCGCTGAGCCGCTGTGCCGCTGTCACACTGTGCGACAGCGGACGCCGTTCTTCGCTTGGACGCTGAGGGGCACGCGATCGACTTCGCCGCCTGGCTCGTCGACCTCCGCCGGCACCTGACAGGTCAGCGCCAGGATGGGCACTCCCTGGCTATGCATGTTGATGGTTTGCTTCCCCGCCCCCCTGCGCCTGGTCCCCTCCCTCCTGACCCTACCACTGTTGAGAGCGAGGCTTTTGCTGCTGCTGCGCTTGCTCGAGCTGTCTGGGATTCTCGCGACGTAGTAGCCCAGCTTGCCATTAGCCATGCCCTCCCCTTGTCTGAGTGTCTGCGCTTTACAGCTATCGCGAATGCCAAGGACTTTCTCGCTGCAGTAGTTGAGCGTTACTCCACACCTGCTTCCGCCTCTGTTGGCCGCTTGATCCTACCTGTCACAGGATGGAATGTCCCGAGGAAAGGTTTGCTCAATGTTCCACTATCAATCAGTACAAGGGGCTTTTATACTTCCAGATTACATCAGGTAACCAGGTTTATCCTATCCAAAGGAAATAGACCCTTCTAGAAATAGAATCACCCTGCGTATAGCCACGCGAGGCTATTGGCTTTAAGGGATTACGACAGGATTACGCTAGATATAGCGCGCCAGTACATCCCGAGCCTGGTCGGTGATATAATTATAATAACAGGATAAACCAAAGGATAATGGAAAATGAGGAATAGGAAACCAAATGAGATAAGATAAAGACCAAATGAATCAGGAGTGAAAGAGGAATGAAATAAATAGGAAATATGAAAGGGGAAATTGGTGTAACGGGGTCGTACTCTCACACTTCCCCCCCTCAAAGCTGGGTGGTACAAGTAACACCCTGCTTGACAAGGTAGTCATGCAGAGGACGACGGGCGTTACCCATGTCGGTTTCAGAGACGCAGCCTCAGAAGTATCATAACCCTTCCAGCAAAGAAGAAGCTCCAGAGTGCCAGTCGGACGATGACGGTGTCCAAGTACGTAGTTGTCCCATGTCGTGGATGAACACGGGCGACGACAGTGGTTGGCATTCGGTGTAGAGCGTTTTGGTCTTGATAGGGTTTAAGAAGCTGGTATGGAAGGTGTTATGGATCTTCCAAGTGGCTGGTAGGCGGAAGCGGAAGTTGACTGAAGTGGCCCTTGCTTCAACGATGATAGACCCGCAGAAGCAAGGTTGAAGCTTGGATGGAAGTTGGCTGATGTCGAGATTATTGTCTCGAGAAGGGTAGTGATGAGTTGCCAAGTGCTTGTGCTGATGTTGGATGTCCAAGAGGTTGTGTGGTCGATGTACACGATGGTGGACGATGGCAATGAAATCGAAAGCAGTTGAAGTGTAGCAAGAACTGTCTGTTGCTACGGAGTGAGGAAGGTTCCGTCCATGGCAATGAAGGATGGTGTGTATCGCCGTCAGTGATATATGGGTAGGTGCAAGTTGTGGTGTGATCGTCGGTGGCGTCCGTAACAGACGAAGTACAGCGTCTGTCCAGTAGCGGCGTCAGGAGCATACTTGTAGGCAAACTCCAGGACGGGCAGATGCAAGTCGGAGTTGGAGATGTGAATGGTTGGAACAGTGTGCTGTAACGTGCAGATGAGTGGCTATGTTGTCCGATCGTGGATGCTGTTACCCGCATCTGGTCCACGTGTGAAGATCACCAAGTGTTGGTGGTATGGCAGTTGTGTCGTAGTACTGCTTCTGTCGCAGTGTTGTATCCGTTACATGCAGCTTCTGTCGAATACTGGTCCATGCCGTATTGTTGTCGCGAGTCGTACCCACTCGGCATCGTAGTGCTGCGGAATGGAGAGCAGAATCACTAGTAGTAACCCTGTCCACCACGCGGTCTGCTAGTCACACTGCCTTGAGTACAACAGCGCATGCGAAGTGCTGCTCAGCGTATCCCTTGTGTTCAGAACCATGCGAGGGGTCGGTACCACAAACGCGGAGCTGGTAACTTCCAGAATCGGCGCCAAAGTAGTTTCCCTCGATGGTTGCTCGAGCAAGGAATTTGTGCTGCGTAGATATCCCACAGTGATGGGTTAGGACATTTGGGAATGTTATGGGTATTCCCAAGTTAATCCTTCC